GTGTTGTCACAGTAGATTGTAGTTGGGCTATCTTGCACAAATTGAAGGTCTTTCAAAAGTCTTCTAAGCCAAATTGCTTCACAAGATGCACTTGTGGCTGAAATGTATTCTGCTTCAGTTGAAGATAGTGCCACAGTATTTTGCCTCTTTGATGACCAAGAGATCATTTTCGGTCATCTATGGAACCAGCCCAATCACTTTCTGAAAATCCAACCAGCTTGCAGTCATTTTCACTTTCATATTTCAGCCTAAAGTTCTTGGTTCCTTTCACATATCTGAGTATTCTCTTTGCTGCTCCAAAATGAATCTTACTTGGCTTGTTCATGTATCTTGAAACAATGCTCACAACAAGAACAATATCCGGCCTTGTGTTGGTGAGATAAATCAAGGAACCAACAAGGCTTCTGTAGATTGATGCATCTACCAATTCGGCTCCATCCTCCTTTGACAACTTTTCGTTGATAGCCATAGGAGTAGCTAGTGGTTCACATATTAACATATGAAATCTTTTTAACAAATCATCAACATACTTCTCTTGGGACATAAAAATTTCACCTTTTTTTGCTTCACTTGAATCCCAAGAAAGTATCTCATTAACCCCAAATCTGTCATCTCATATTCCTTAGTCATTGCTAATTTAAACTCATTCAACAATTTTGGGTTGTTACTTGTATAAATCAAATCATCAACATAAAGACAAACAAGGATGAAATCATGCATACCTTCCTTCTTGACATAAAGTGATGGCTCATTTGGACTTTTTTCAAATTCATTCTTATGGAAATATTTATCAATCTTGCTATTCCATGCTCGAGGTGCTTGCTTTAAGCCATACAAAGCTTTTCGAAGCTTGTAAACCTTCTCCTCCTTTCCTTCTATCACATATCCTTGTGATTGTTCAACATAAACTACTTCTTCTTCTAAATCTCCATTTAGGAAGGCTAATTTCACATCAAATTGAAACACTTGCAGTTTTAGTTGAGCGGCAAGTGCAAGCACAATTCTGATTGTTTCCATTCCTGCAACTGGTGCAAAAGTCTCATGGAAATCTACCCCGGCTGTTGGGCTAGACTTTAGCCACTAACCTTGCTTTGTGCTTTTGGATTGACCCATCTTCATTGAACTTTGTTTTAATTTGTAAACTCATTTCAGTCCACTCACTTCTTTTTCTTTGAGTTTATTTACCAACTCCCATGTCTTGTTCTTCTCTATCGTTTCAATTTCTTCATCCATAGCTTTCACCCAAATTTCTTCTTTTGAAGCTTCTTCAAACTTCTGTGGTTTTAATGCAGGAAATGCAATATCACAATAATCAAAGATTTCTTGAAATGAGCGTACCTTTCTTGGTAGAGTATCCGAGTTTACATCACTTGGGCTTATTTGCCATGGATCTTGGTTTCTTGAACTTGAGGGATCCATTCTTGGATTGAAACTTGTTGAGCTTTTTTTTTTTTTTTTTATCAATAAAACTTAAACTTGTTGAGCTTGATTGATCTTCTTGAGTTTGCTGGACTTGCATTTGATGTAGTTGTCATGCTCATGGTCATTGGGCATCACTTCTTCTTCCTCTTCTACAACATATTTCTTTCTTTGTGGAGAATTTTCTTCAAAGTTCCATGCCCCCTCTTCATCAAATATTACATCTCTTGAAATTACCAACTCATTTGTAGTTGGATTCAGCAATCTGTAACTTTTGGACTCATCACTGTAACCAAGGAAGATACATTTCTCACCTTTGCCATCAAACTTTTCTCTCTTCTTTGAGGAAATGTGAGCATAAGCAATGCAGCCAAACACTTTAAATGAGATAACAACAGGCTTCTTTTTATGCCATGCTTCAAAAGGTGTTTTATTTTGCACGGCTTTGGTGAGAGAACAATTTAATATGTGAATAGCACTATGAACTGCTTCAGCCCAAAAATTTTTGGGAAGATTTTTACCTTGCATTATGCTTCTTGCCATTTCTACAATGGTTCTATTTCTTCTTTCAACTACCCCATTTTGTTGTAGAGTATGTCTTACTATCAATTCCCTTTTGATACCTTGTTCTTCACAAAACTTCCCAAATTCTCTCCATGTAAACTCTTTTCCTCTATCAGTCCTCAAAGCTTTTAATTTGTGATCACTTTGCTTCTCAACTAAAGCTTTGAATTGAATAGAAATAGGCAATGCTTGTGATTTTGCATCTAAGAAATATACCCACATCATTCTAGTAAAATCATCAACAAAGAGAAGAAAGTACCTCTTGTTGTTGAAGGAAGGTGTCCTCATGGGACCACAAATGTCAGCATGAACCAGCTCCAATGGTGCCTTTGAATGCCATGATTTCTCTGAAAATGGTAGCCTATGATGCTTCCCATAGACGCAACCTTCACCTACTTTATGTTCTCTATCAATTTGAGGAAGTCCAATCACCATACTCTTATGATTTAACAAAGAGAGACTTCTGAAATTTAAGTTTCCATATCTCAAGTGCCATAACATGGACTCATCCAACTTCTCACTTTTCATCCCATAGTTTACATCATAGGAGGAAACACTTTGTTTGCAGCCATTTTTACTCTAGCAATGATTTGACCTTTCTTATTATCAATTATTACACGTTCGTCATTGTCAAAATGCACCTCATAACCTTTTTGTATAATCTGTCCAACACTAAGCAAATTTTGAGTCAAACTGGGAACATAAAGAACATTTGAGATGAGTTTAGAATTACCTTGCTTAGTTTGGACTGCAACAACTCCCTTTCCTTCAACACTTTGGAGTTTGCCATCTCCAAGCTTCACTTGAGAATTGACATGTTCATTCAGCTCAAGAAAACATTCTTTGTTTCTCGTAATGTGGTTACTACAGCCACTATCCAAATACCAAACTTCTTTTGGCTCTTGTTGGGTATTCATACAAGAGTAAAATAGATGATTTTCTGAATCATAATTTTCAGTATGCAATCTTTTGGGGCATGAACATGATTTTTGCATTTTTTACATCTGAAAAAGCAGTCTTGGGGAAAATGGTTGTCTTTCTTGCAAATAAAACAACCATTGTTTTGCTTTTCACCTCTTCCTCTTCCTCTTCCATTATTTTGGTATCTTCTTCCTTTGCTTTGATATGACCATTCTCTTGGAGTTTCTTTCTCACCATCATTCTTTTTCTTTTTTGCAATGGTGAGTTTGGACTGAAAAGCTTGCTCCAGTGAAGATGAGAATTTTTTCATTCTATCATCGTGAGTTTCAAGTGAGCTCATTAACTCATGCATGAATAGTTTAGTCAAATCTTTGGCTTCTTCTATGGCAGCCACCACATGGTCAAATTTAACTGGTAAACTCGGAACTTTTTTTACAATTTTTTCATTTGAGAGAACATCTCCATAAGTCCTAATTTGATTTACAATACCAACAACTCTAGAAAAGAACTCTTGGACAAATTCACTTTCTTTCATCATAATATTATCAAAATCTCTCCAAAGAGTTTGAAGTTTTATGGATATTACCTTTTCGGTGCCCTGAAACTCTTTCTTGAGAATTTCCCATGCTTCTTTTGAGCTTTTGGCAGCCATGATTCTTGGAAAGATTGTTTTACTTACTGCTTGTTGAATATGGTACAGGGCTCTAGCATCATCTTTCCTATTTTCTTTGTACTCTTTCTTGTCTTCAGTCCATGTTGCAAGTTGCTCCCGATTTTTTGGTTCTTCGTATCCTTCTTCTACCAGCTCCCAAATCTCCTTGAAGATGAAAAATGTTTTCATTTGTATGCTCCAATAGTCATAGTTTTCTCCATCAAAAATAGGAAGTGGAAATTTTTGAAAAGGATCTACTGCAGAGCTGCTGGAACTTGATGCCATGAAAGGTTTTAGTTTTAGTCTTGAATGGCTGAATGGATCTTTGCTCTGATACCAAAAGTTTGTTGGAGTAACGGAAGTGTGGTGGTAAAAATCAAAGGAATAACCAAAAAATTCTGAAGAAGAAAAGAGGAATATGAAATGGCAAGAAGAAGAGAAGATGAAAAAGCTCACGTAGAGTTCTGGGTTTACTTGTTCTTAGCTTCTTGAGCTTTCTTACTAAAATGTTTCAGATTACAAGAAATATAAAGTAGTTTTACTTTTACACTCAAGACCTTTCAGCTACCAACTCCCAAGACAACCCACTTAATACAAAAGACAAAACATAAAGGAAAATTACAAAAACTACCACTCTTACTTTTCAACATTAATTTTCTTTCCATTTCATAGAATTTCAACTGCTTAGGAATTTAGACATTTCAATGGACCTGAATCTTAAGGAGCTATGGTAGCTCTGGATCCTCAGTATTTCATATCAATCCCCAGGAAACTGTGGATTGTCCTGGGCTAAAACTGTTGGGTTAATTGTTCATTTGAGGATTGATTGGATTTATTACAGTTCATTGTGTTGTAGGCCTATGTTCAAAATTGGAATCTTTTATTTTTCTCTCTAATGGTCAAAATTATGGCTCTGGATCCTCAATATATCATATCAATCCTTCATATTAAAAGTCCCAATCTAAAGGTTTTAGCCTCTATTGTACTGTTCTCGAGGTATTCATTATAGGCCATTGCTGTATTATATTTTGGCAACATCTGATTGTTCTCCTTCTCCATCATAGTTTATTAGCATTAGGTGGATCAACTTTCAGAGAATTTGCACTGTAAATTCAATCCATTTAGTGGAAGCCCTGGGAAAGGGAATTTGTAATCAGTTTGCTTCTCTGAAAGTGATTGTTGCACTTGCAATTTTTCTGCAACACTTGAAATATGAACTGATTACTGATCAGAAGATAAGCATGACTACAGGAGCAACAATTCATACAACCAATGAACCAGTTTAGAACTAGCATTTTCTATCGTTGCTATTATTTTCTACCTTTCGTTATTTCTTTGGGAGCAGAATTGGATCTGAATTTGTTTCCATACATTGCACATCAATTACATTGGGCTTGATGTGGATATAATTCAGGTGTTTTCTGAATGGGTGTCATTAATGCAGGGCTTGTACATGAAATTGAATCAATGGAAAACTCAGCCAGCATTTGCTTAATCTTCTAGGTAAATTCTTTTGAGCTTCTACACGTCTCCATATCAATGTTGTTAGTACCATGCTGGAAGAATGAACATTAATTTGTCATATGGAAGTGGGTCCCAATCTGATATGGCTGTACCAGGCCATCTCAGCTGCCAAAAAATGGCACTCGAGGACAGCACTTAGTGCTGGTTTACTTGGACTATGACCCAGACACCCACCTCTGTATATGGGAAACCAACAATTGGCTGCTCATCATTCAGTGGTCTGTGCACTTGGTGGACATGTGAATCTATGTTAAATCTAATGTTGAATGCTTATATATATATATATATATATATATATATAATATCTGCATAGATTCTGTCTCTCAACTTTGTTGTACTTTGCAAAGTCCATCCATATTGCAAGCCAAAGTTTCTGATCTGAGCATTTTTTTCTACAGGTGGAGAGTAAAGACATTGTTGGTTTCCCAGAATAGGTAATGAATTTAGTGAAGTCTCCAGTATTTCCACAAATCTCATGATGATTCCTTAGATTTTCACTACCTAATAAGTTAACTCTTCTTGAAATAAATTAGATGTTGTTGTACCAATTAAATTAAATGTAATCATCTCTCACATGGGATTGCTTTATATAACTAGATTAAATGTTGTTGTACCATGTACCAACTAAAGAAAAGAAACCTTGCAGTGATCTCATTACCATAGTAATTTATGCTTTCCTTTATGATGCTCAGGTTTTTCCTAGTAAAGTGAATGAACTTCACGACAAGTACTTATCCTATGTCAATGGCTGCTTTATGCATAATGTAATCTTTCACAAGGTTGGTTTTCTATGCAGTTTTCCTTGGATCACATTCTTTGATCTATTTCCCTTTGTTGGTTTTTATGCATCAAGTTTCAACTAGTTGAAGTGGATGCTCATTGGCTGTTTTGAATTGAAGGCACTTAATGAAGCTTTTGAGGTTTTCTGCAACAAGCAAATTGCAGGAATCTCCAGTGCAGAAATATTTGCAATATTCTGTGACCGTATCCTCAAAAAAGGTGCAGAAATCCAGTTCAAACAATCAAACTTGAAAAATCAAAATTCATAATCAAATTCCATTTTTATTTTCCATGAACTTTATCATTGTTCTTTGGATCTTCCATAAACTTGGGCAAGGTATGCAAGATAGTCATTTTGGACATCCAATCCAAGGGTGTGAAAGATCTCCATTTTTTGTTAACTTGATTCTTGACTCTTACATAATCTAATTGGTCATGTCCTGAAGTTAAAACCAATTCTTTATTATAGGCTTAAGTCAGAAAGCTGGGGAAAAGTTACATCCATAGCAGTCCAAGTTGGGGTGTAGGGTCAAAATTATGTTTGAGTTCTTTCGCAACTTTTACTGATACTGTCATTTATTCTCAGTTGTCAGGACAGCTTCTATCAGCTTATGGGTATGGTGCTCCAGAGTTTGAATCTGGTATTTGTACTTACCAAAGTGATGTTTACAGCTTTGGAGTTGTAATGTTAGAACTTCTTACAATGATATTGATGCATTGTCAATGATGGTTGATCCTTCCCTAAATGGAGCTTACCCTGCATTGTGAAGATGGGATACATATGATGCATTGTGAAGAGAACATTTATTGTACAAACCAAGAATTTACCAAATTGAAATTAAGATGTATTTGTGATTCTAATGTTTTGAATGGAGAATGGTTTTTTAGATTTTATTTATAATTGATGTTTTTTATTTTTGTATTTCATTTCGATTTAAATGAATATAGAGAAAACAAGTTATTTGAAGAAAATTAGGAAAAATTAAAAAAAAAAGGTTATTTGAAAAAAAAAAGTATACATTTATCGGCAGTCTCAACTACCACTAAAAGTTTTTTTAGCAACAATTTAAATTTTATACCGACAGCTAGCAAAACTATTGCTACAACATCTAGCGACAGATCTTTTAGCGGCAATTTGTCGTCTGCCCTTAAAGTCTCTAGCGACAATTTTGATTGGTGCTAAAAGTCTTTTTTCTTGTAGTGTTACATTATATAAAATAATTTTTACTTATCACACTTAATTTTTGTTTGTCTATGAGATCATTTGACCCAAACCACTAACCCACCACCCAAAAAGAAAAATAGTTTGATTTCTAGGTTGACCTTAAATTTTGTATTACATTTTCATTCTTATGTATAGTATTTATTTTTGTTCAATATAATGAATGCATAATATTAGAGATGTACCAAATATTTTATTTTTTATAAATATATAACATCAGATATGTGCCCAAATTTTTCTCTATCTTTTTTGTGGTTCTTTGTATTTTCTATTTTTACAAATTTTATTATTTGACTATGGCACCATTTCATTTCTTGGTAGATTTTAAATTTGGCATTCCATTTTCATCATTAATAAAAATACTTTCTTACATTTCATAATTATTTATTTTATTATTTAATTATGGAATTATTTATTAATTCATTTGATCCCAAATGGTTGAATTGCTTGCCCACCACTAGGAGGGAAAAAATGGTTTTGTTTTCAAATTACTTTTCAAAATATTTATTTTTGTACTATTAAAATTAACATTGTGGATTTAGTTACAAGAATTTAACGATGAAAAAATATATTTTAAATATAGGTTTTAATAAAAGAGAATAAGAAAAAATTTTTATTTCCAATTGGTTTTAAATTTTACATTCCATTTCTATCATTAATAAAAATATTTCTTATTTATCATAATTATTATTGTTTAATATGTATTTTAAAAATGTTCCCGATTTTTTAATTTCTATTTTTTTCATTTTATCCATTTTTTAATTTTATTATTTAATCATGGCAACAACATTCCATTTCCATCATTAATAAAAACATTTCTTATTTATCAAACTTATTATTGTTTAATATGTATGTTAAAAATGTTCCCAATTTATTTTAATTTATATTTTTTATTTTATCTATTTTTGAATTTCATTATTTAATTGTTGCAACATGGATTGACCCATTTGACCCAAAATGCTTTAATTTCTTACCACCACCTAGATGAAAACACTATTTTTTCTAGGTAGATTTTAAAAGTATAAGTTTTTATGTTATTGAAACTATTAATTTATTAAGTATGGACTTAATTAATAGAACTTAATGATGAGAAGAAACAAAAATGGCTTAAATATATGATTCAATGAACATGAGTGCAAGTTAATAACTTAAATGTTGGATTTAATGAGAGGGAATTGAATGGATTTAATATCTTAAAATTACCTCTTTTAAACTCATTTAATATCAATAACTAATTACCTTATTTGCCCTCATTTTTATCAATAAATTTAAATATAGAGGAGTAAATTTTGTCCTAAAAAAATCCAGAAATATTCTTGAGGTCATTCATGCTTTTTGAAGTAGTATACATATGTAATAGAGGTGTTAACGTGGTGAGCCACATGATTAGGGACAGGTGGTGTTGTTTGATTGGGAGAGAGGAGATTAGATTTAAGTTAATAGGATATCTCAACTTCTCTTAAACCCTGCCAATCCGGCCTGGTAGAAGGAGGATTTGAATCCCTAGATCACTGCTACAATGAATCAGAGATATGTTTACGATTACTGAACCATGGGCCTATTTTTGAAACCGAACTAGGGTTATCAGTTTTTAGAAAACTGGTAACCGAAATCGAACTAAAGCTAATCAATTAATCGGTTGACCAGTTTGGTTAACCATCGGTTCAACTCATTGGTTTTCGGCTTTTTTATATATAAATATATAATAAAATACTAGAAATATATATAATATTACATTTTAAATAATAAATAATATATTATATATCATAAATATATATGATGCATATTTATTAATTTGTAATACATAGAAAATATAAAATATATATAAACATATATAAAATACATAAATATACATAAAATATATAAAAATATATGTATACCAATTGGTTTGGTTAACCACCGGTTTTCTATATTGGCTAATCGAAACCGAACCGGTACCTTCGGTTTTTTATATTGGTTAACTGAAACCGAACAAATACCTTCAATTCAGTTTTAGTCAGCTTTACGATTCAATTCAGTTTTTTAGTTTTTCTTTCTCACCCCTAATTGAGCCACTGTCATCAATTGGTTATTAACTTATGTGATTGGAATTAAATCAACTAAAAGTTCACAACATCATGGCTTTTAAAACCAGACCGTACCATACAGTCGGACTGGAAAAATCGGGAACCGGTCAAGTGACTAGTTCGGTTTAACCCCAGAACTGTTATTTCGCCAAAAACCATTGATTTGGTCAGCAAACCGTTGACCTGGGCAGTCAAATCATTTGAACCATCCAACGGTTTTGGCCGTTTTTTATTTTTTGTTAGAACGGGCCACCCATTTGGTTCAAACAGTCGGACTGTTCGACCCAAGAACCGGACCCCTGACCAGTACGTTGTCCGATTCAGTTTTGAAAACCTTGCACAACATTCTCAATCTTCATTGGTAGAATCCTGATAAGTCCTAAACAAAACGTGTAAAAATGTGCACTTGCTTTGCACATGGCAATTTTAGATTATGATGGTCATGCTAGTAATAATATGTATCTATATTTTATACTATTCCATATATAAAAAGGGTAAGGATGCAAGCCAAGTACCCGATTTTAAGTTTTTACACTACATCGGGATTGGGATTTCAAGCTAGGTCCATTGAAAATTTAGTAAAATTTCAACCTGAGCCCACTCAAATTGCAACCTTATAAAAAGGGTTAAACTATGATACCAAAAAAAAACTTATGAGAGTTTTGATTGGTCTAAGCCATTCTAGTATCATGTTTTTACCACAACAAATTTTTCCATATAAAAATAACTTATTTTTGTTCAAGAAAAAATTATACTACTGAAAAGACATGATACCATAAGAGCTTTGACCAATCAAAACCCTCTTGAATTTTGATAGATCCCACGTAATTGGTTACCACTTTTGTGATACCAGTTGAATATTGGTTACAAGCTTTTTCTGTATTATGTATTTTCAATGTCATAGTTAGAGATGTATCCAAATACTTTGTTATAAAATTTTTATAATTTTCATACTTTTTGTATTTTTATCTTTCACTTATATTATTTAATTATGACATCACAGGGTTACACATTTGACCCAAAAGGTTAAATTGTTGACCTGCCACCAAACAGAAAAAGAATCAATTTTGGGTCATTTTAGAATATTGTATTACATTTCCCGCAACAATAAAAACAATTCTTGTTTATCATACTTATATTTCCTTAATATAATTAATATAAAATATTTGAGATGTATCCAAATGTTTTTATAAAATTTTGTATTTTTTATAATTTTTATGTTTTATCTTGTTTTTTAATTTGCATTAATTGGTAAAACATTCGACCTAAAAGGTCAAATTGTTGACCCACCACCATATAGAAAAGTAATTTCATTTTTGGATCGGCTTTAAATTTTACGTTTCATTTCCATTACCAATGAAAGCAATTCTTGTTTATCACACTTATTTTTCTTTAATATGATTAATAGATAATACTAGAGATGTGTCCAAATTTTTATATAATTTTTCACTTTTGTAATTGTTGTAGTCATTACTATTTAAGAAAATAGTTTGTTATTTAACTATGATATCATGGGTTGATCCATTTGACTGAAATGGTTGAATTTCTTACCCACCACTTGGATGGAAGAGCAATTTTGTTCCTAGGTTATTTTTTTATGAAAAACCATGGGTTTTATATTGTTAAGTATTGAACTTACATCTAATCAGTAGAATTTATTGGTGAGAAAAAATACCTTAAATATAGGATTTAATAAGAGGTGGGAGTTAATACTTTAAATATAATACTATAATCAAAGGGAATTAAATGAGGTTAAAATCAATAAATAAAAATAAGTTTCTAAATAAATTGAAAAAATAAAACAAAATAAAACACCAATAAAATTTAAAGAATATGAATATATCTAATAATAGAAAATCATTTTTATTAACCAAAAGAGTAATAAAAATCATTTAAAAGAAATTACTTTTTATCTTCAAATATTTTTTATTAATAAAAATAATGGAAATGGTTCAATGTTAAAAACTATCATAATATTACCTTCAAATATTAAATATTACTAAAAATAATTTAAAATATCATGAGTTTTACCTTTTCACGATATGTTGGAAAAATGATGGTCCTTGTCCATGATATATTGTATATAGGGACCATCTACATTGAACTGAACAGGTGCATGTCTTATGGATATAGGACCAAAATGGTCTCTTCCACGAGATATTCACACAATTGAACACAACCTAAATTATAATGTTTTGAATTATGCCAAGTGTCTTGGCCCTTTATTGGACCACTCTTGAAAGAAAAAACCAATCATAGTGGTCCAACTTCAACTGGACACAAATTTAAAATAAATCATTTAAAATTGTTTCCCTATTTATTCTCTTGGCATCCTATGCTTGAAACAAAGATCCTTAGAGATCTTGTCCTTAGACCAACCAGTTTGACCCAAGATTCCATTGCATTTTTGCCGTTGTGCTGTGTTATATTGTTTCTAACATGTCTTGCCTTGATTGTGCCTATAACACTAACCCTATTCAGCTATGATGGTGTATGTATATTGCTACCACAAAAGCAACACTATCAAAAAATAAGAACGTGCAAAAGTAGAATGAATCTATCCAATTGTGGTTCTTGTGTGAAAATCGGATTTGGTCCTCACAATA